CCCCCCCCCAGGCCGCTGCGACGCGATGCCCGGCCGACCTCAACCACCTCCAACCTCTGACCGTCGCCCGGCCCCGTGACCCCCCCAATGCCGCGGGGGGTGCGGACGTCACCCCTGGGGGCACGGGAGGTGGCGGGTGCCCCCTACACCCTACGGGTGCTCCAGGAGGGCTACTGCTCCCCCCAGCCCGACGGCACCTTCCGCGCCGACGGCTCCGTCACCCTCGTCTGGGGGGGCCCCGTCACCGCCTTGGTGGACACGGGGGGTCCTTGGGACCGCCAGCGTCTCCTCGACCTCTTGGCCGAGCAAGGGCTGTCGCCAAACGACGTCACCCACGTCGTCTGCACCCACGGTCACTCCGACCACGTGGGGAACATCAACCTCTTCCCTACGGCCACCTTGTTGGTGGGCCTTGACCTGAGTCGGGGTGACGGGTGCTACCTGCCCCACGACTTGGCGAAGGGGCGTCCCTACGTCCTCCACCCCGGTCACCTCGAGGTGATGGCCACCCCGGGTCATACGATCGACCACGTCAGCGTGGTGGTACATGACACCTCCCTGGGGACCGTGGTGGTGGCCGGGGACTTGTTCGAGAGGGAGGAAGATGAGGAAGAGTGGAGGGCGTCGAGCGAAGACCCGGCGAGGCAGGAGCAAAGCCGTCGACGGGTGATGGCCATGGCCGACGTCATCGTGCCCGGTCACGGACCGCCCTTCCGGGTCTTCAGGGAGCGGGGGGACGGGAAAGTCCCTTGGGAGGAGGAGGATGAGGGGACTGCTGCCACTAGAGATGGTCCCAAGGGACACGGGGACAACCCCAGGGGAGATGTGACCCCTGGAGATGTCCCTGAAGAGGAGGGGAACGGGACTGGAAATGATCCCAGGCCGTGAGAGACGCCCTGGGGACATCCCTTGGGGGAGGAGGAGACCCAGGGACGTCCCAGAGGGAGACAAGACCTCCGTGAAGATGTCCTCAAGGGAAGAACATGTTTTTCGGGATGTTGCCAGGACGGAAGAGCCCCGGAGGGTGTCCTCAAGGCTTTGAAGACCCCATGAGATGTCCCTGAGGCACAGGAGCACCGTGGGGACATCTCCAAATGTGAAATAAAGCCCATGACCATCCCCTGGTGCCGTGTCTTTGTGGGGTAACGAGGATGCTAGCGAGCTGGGTGATACTGGTGTCCCCCACCAGTGTCCTCCCAGTGCCCAGGATGCTCCCCAGCTCTCCAGGGATGGATGTATGGTGGGGCATGGGGACATGAGGACATGGGGAATTGTGTGCCCTGCCATGACAAGCCGAGCCCATGAACACTAATGTAATTTTCACACCTCATGAGCATCTTCTCACCACCGTCTGCTCAAGACAACATCATCCCCGTGAGCTGGAGTCCTGCGTCTTCCCAACCTGGACATGGAGATGAGAGTTCAACCATGAGGTTCCATCAGAAAACACCCACAGTTGCCCCAACCCACCTTCTTCATGACCCCATCCTTTTCCACACGTCAACTCCGCTTGCCTTTCAGTGGTGACATCCAGGACTATCTCCCCGTGGTCCTTCTCTGCCAGGATCTCCATGTCATGGTGGGCAGTCACCCCATTTGTTTAGTCCTTCCCAGGAATGATGTTCTCTCAAAAAATGGTTTTGCTGCGAAAAAACCCACCTGAGCTTGTTCTCCACCCAAGTCTTAGTGATAACCATCTGGTCTGGAGGTCTCCTTGCTCCGTGGGGTCTTTGCCAACCCTTGTAGAGTGCCTTGGCAGTGGAGATGCTTTGCCCATGTGATGGGCACTCAGGAGGGGCTGGTGGCCGTTCCCTACTGGGACCAACTTATTGGCCACCGTAGGTCCCATCTCTTGAGCCAGAAGCTCTCGGCAAGGCTTGAAGAAGACCCTACAGAGCACGGTGGCCCCAAAGACACTCTACAAGGGTTGGAGAAGACCACACAGAGGAAGGAGATCTCCAGACCAGAAGAACAATCTTTCAGAAACCAACACCGACCGTAAATGACAATAGAATCCCACCCCAAACCCCCAAAATCTCCAGAGAGGTGTCAAGGAAGATGGATGAGTCCACCCAGAGCAGACTCCTCTCCTCCTGAGAGGACCGCCTAGGCCAGAGAACGTTCTCGCCTTCTCTCAAGGACTCACGAGGGCATCAGGGCTGACAGTAGAAGTCCTCAGGGATGGAGTAGAGACATCGTGTAGAACAGCAAAGACCAGAAGATGGCTCTGGAGGACAAGGGTGGATTCAGGAAGGGTTTTGATGGACCCAGAGGTGTTGTCATAGGGTTTAGACGGGTCTTGACGGGGCCAGGGAGACCGAAGAAGGCTTGGGTGATCTCCAGACCAGAAAACCCATGGTGGGGACGTTGTGATGAAGTGGATCCAAGCAGAGGACAGATGTCCAGCAACAATCTGGAGACATCCTAGATGGTCTAGATGATAAGTGGATGTTGGGGGGCTCAACAATGGCCCCAGGAAGGGTTTTGGGGGGAGCTGGAGGGATGCAAGGTGCCCTAGAGAGCCAAAAGAGAGTCATGGGGCATGAGGAAGATCTTGGGAGGCTTCATGACAGGAATTGAGGGGTCCTGAGAAGATCAGAGGTCGCCCCAAAACATGACCTGAGGGGTTCAGAAGGCCCAGGTCACCCCAAAACGTGACCCAAAGGGGTTCAGAAGACCCCAAGGCTACCCCAAAATGTGACCTGAGGGGGTTGGAGGGCTCCAGGGGAGTCCAAAACATGACGTGAGGGGTTCAGAGGGCCACAGGACACCCCAAAACGTGACCTGAGGAGTTCAGAGAGCCACAGGTCACCCTAAAACATTACCTGAGGGGTTTGCATGTCCTCAGGGCACCCCAAAACGTGACCTGAGGGGTTCAGGGTTCAGAGGGCCCTGGGGCACCCCAAAACATGACCTGAGAGGTTCAGAGATCCTCAGGTCACCCCAAAACATGACCTGAGGGGTTTGGTGGGCCACAGGGCACCCCAAAATGGTTGGGTGTCTCTCAAGGCTCCCCGTAACTGGAGGGGATGGGGACGGGGACGCAGAGCCAGGTTCTGCTGGATGAGCCAATGGGAGCTCTGGGATGGGGGGGTGGAGGTGGCTGACGTCACAGGCGGGGGGGGGGGGGGGGGGGGACCAGGGG